TTTTTTGGAATTAAAAATTTGTTCATTACCCTAAATCATGATCTTATTAACTTACAATTTATTATGATTATTCTTGTTATGAATTTTGCAAATATTTGTAGATAGAAATCATGTAAATTTTATCTTTATAAAATGGTATGGTATAATCATATAAAATAAATTTTATAACATCAGATATAGTAAAAATTTGGATTAGTAAAACTCATGATTAAACTTAACAAGACTAGATTCAAGTAAAATAGGAACATAAGAGAATTTACATAAAATTACATTTGAAATAATAAAAGTCATTTTTAAAGTTATAAGTAATAACATATCTCAATTTCTCTTGAAGATCAACTCATTTGCTAATTTCAAATTCAAATATTACGTGCATAGATGTATTAGTTGAAGATCATTATTTTTGTTTTGGTTTTTTTAATCATTCAATGTTGTTGTACAACATTATTACATATTTCACAATGTTGAATACACATGTCAATTAAATTTTTCAAATTTTGCTTACACATTTTTCACAATTTTTCAAATAAAAATGATAAATTTATGCCAAATTTTATCATGCAATTGTGTAATTTGAACATTTTATATTTGTATTGTTAAATTTCAATTTTAGCCATTTGTACACATTTTTATAATCATTTCTTATGATGATTCTCATATTTTTTATATATATCACATATATCACATATATTGAAAAATTTGCAGTGTTTGTTTTAGTTTTTTATTAAAAAATATAAATTTTGGGATAAATTTAGTTCTAATCTGAAAGCGAGAATCATTTATTGATAAAAAAAAATTCTTCAACTTTTTTATAATTCATAAGTATATATTTTTGATATATATCATGTATCATGGAGACTAGCAAATAAGTTTGCATTTGCATTTCAATAGTTAAACTTTTGAATTTCATCTATGACATAAGTTAAAAAATAAAATATTGGCTAAATTAAATAATGAATCTTTTTAAGGAAATATTTGTGTTTTTGTGTAAAAATCTATATAAAAAATATTATTTTAAGGGAAGGTCTAGTAATCGCTCACTTAGGGTTAATTAGCCCTCACCTTACTATACGTTCTTATTTGATTGTTCCAACATCACTACTACCTTTCATCAATCAAGAAGAAAATTGCGTATAGAATAATGAGGGCTAATTAGCCTAAGTGAAGGATAACTAGCCGCTTCCTATTTTAATTTATGATATTTATACCAATATATGTGAAATAATAAAATATTGTAATTAAGATTTGTGAACACATCAAATCAAATTCAAGTTTGATATAGTTTTTCATTGTGTAACATTCATTTCAAAACTTTGAGTTGAAAAAGTCATTTGAAAGTATGTATTTGCATTTCAAAATATGCTTTCAAAAACACATAAAAAATTTCATAAGGCTATATGATTTTCTATGAGCATAAAAAAACATCAAAATCAATAATATGATAAATGATTATTACACTTCGATAAATAACATTCTAACAAATAAAATCAACAAAAATTTAATAGTTTTTAATATTGCATTCTTTATCTTGGTTAAGGCTTCAAGTTAAATTTGATTAAACACCCTCATTTTATAGATTCTATTGAAATATTTTATTTAAAATAATTTTGCTTATGCACATAATTATTCTGATGTCATAAACTAAATTGTCCTTCGTGTCAGAAATGATTTCAAATAGTTTAAAAACCATTTGAATTTCATTTCATTCAAATGTTGCATATTTTGTTGCATGAAATTGATCTATGATTTGTATACTAGCAACTTAAAATAAATCCTCAGATAATACAAAATATTTGTTGATAGCATTACTTTTGTATTCTTGCCCTTTCTTTATAACTGGAAGAAACTTTAAACTTCTGATTGTGTTAACTTTTTAGTTTTATCTATTAAGTACAAAAGAATATATGTTTATTTATTTTTTTCACTTGTAAATTTTTTAGAAACCATACTTTTGTCATACGTTTAGCTTCATATGACTTTTTTTCAATTTCAATGAATTTTAATTTTTGTCTTGATGAACAGGTACTTCGATAGTATTTCATTTGAATGTGAGGTCTTTTCATTTGGTATCTTTTATAAATAGTTTATAGTTTCTTACTTCAAAACAAACATATTTACCTCAAATAAAAAAACTTCAATGCAATTTCATAATCAAACAAATCCTTATTTTATTCTAAACCAATTCTATATTGCGTGATTAGTGCTCAAAGCCAAAGAATCTAATAATTCTGTTTCAAATGTAGTAAGATTTCAAGATCTGTAGCACATCTTCATTACAACATGCAATGATAAAACTTATAGAGTTTTGACATTGCATTCAAACTTTATCTCACATATTTCCAAGCATTCATGTTCTTCTATCATTCTTGAAATATATCATATCGACAGTCATGTTTATATTACATTTCATGCTACGTTGGTTCATAAAGGTGTAAGCAAAGTGAAGATGATATCTTTCACTCAAATCAATAAGATTATTAACACATCAAAAACTTGATGTCAATTATTGTACTTATGAGTAATTAGGACTTTTACATATGAATAGCCTGATACATATAGTTCTTTCTTGAATTTTTATTTCGTTAAGATTATAAAAATTCTTTAATTTTTTTAATTATAGTGCTTGAAATTTTTCAAATATTTTTCTTAACATTCAAAGAAATAATTTGAACTAACCATTTTTCCGTTTTTGATAAATTTATAATTATAATATATATAAATAATCTTTGACCAAAATATTTAATTACCTTGTGCTATTTTCATTATGTTCATTAAAAAATAATGTTAGAAATTTTGTTGTATTATGTCATGAATTGAATATCTTTGTCATTTAAAATGTATTGAATCTAGTTTTGGATTTTGTTGTGTTTTTCTTGTTTTTTCAAAATTTTCATTCATTTATCATTGACAATTGATGACATTGATCCTTATTTAACCGAGGTTTTATATTTTTTTCATGATTTTATTTTTTCATATCCGCATATAATATATATAAGGCAGGGTACATCATTTTAAAGTAGATGATACCTTACATATATACAATATATTGGTTAAAAATCATATTAATACTAGTATCAAACCGACATTATATAGTAAGTCGTGTTTTTTTGTAATTCAGCTTTCAAAATCAAAAAATCATGAAAATACAATGTTATAGTTTGAAATACATATGTTTTCAATTTAAAATGCACACATCAATTGAGATCTAAATAGTACTGAACTTTTCTTGTTTTTTAACTATGCTTTTGTTTTCATCTTATTCGTTTATAGATCTTTTGTAAAAATGATAATAATCATAAAAGCTTGAAATTATTTTATTTTTCTATATAAGGAATGTTAATTCACGTTCTTAATCTTATTATCAAATAGAAAAAATGATAATTGAGTAAAAATCACAAGTCCATCGTTGAAAAAAATACACCTTTTGTGAGCTAATTACTTGTAAGTTATGAAAGTCAACTACCGTTAAGCAAGACATCACATAAAGGTCTAAAATATATAGGTTAATGTATTATCTAATATAAATCATCGTACCCTCACAGCATGTTTTTTTTCCATTGAAGAATAAACTAAAAAAGTAACATCAGAAATATTTTGTATCTGAATTCTAATCATTTAAAATTCTTGTATCTAACAATTTCTTTTGAAATCGAATGTTGCTAACTTTAAAAAAGATGTACTTACTTATAAATTATAGGAAAAAAATTCATATTCAGAATTATAATTGTAGTTCTTGATGCTAATGTAGACATTAAGTCAAAGAGATTTTTTCTATGTTTAATAATATTAGTAAAAACATGAAAATAAGTAACATTTGGATTATTAATTCTTTGATTTTTGAATTTTAGATATGTCTTATCTAAAATCTAATTGATTAGATTATATATCTTCTATATTTTGTATTCTTTATTGCTATATGTCATTAAAAAATGTTCAATTATCCTTAATTTTAGTATATGATCAATTTTGTTTTATTTTCAATGTCTTTTACTACTTAGATTCAAAATTGATTAGTCTTTGAGTCATATGGAATTATGAAATTATAAGATTTTGGATGTTCAATCTTGTAATTTCTAAAATATATAGGAATACATGTCTATCTATTTATTTTGTAGAAGTATTATTTTGGAAGTGATTTTGATGTAAGTGAGGCTCATCAATATTAGTTTTTAACATGTTCATAATGATTTATAATGACAAATACGAAATTCACATGTCTTTCAATTGTCACATGTTCTAGTAGATTTTGTTCGACGTTTTTTTGAATAGATGCAAACACGGTAAATATTAGACATTGATTGTACTCTAAATTGAAATTGAGGTTATCGTCGAACTGTTGGAAACGGGAAAGAGTTTCTTACCTTCGTCAAACATGCATTCTTGACATCGCTACCTTTATTCACTTTCCTGTAGGAAGGATCACCACTAAGTCCCTTCATGACGTGTATTACATTTATAGAGGTCTTAGCGCAGTAAAAGTGATTACGAAGCAATAAATCACATGTTATCTATTGGATTGGTGTTGCTACGTAGCGTACTATCTTGGGTAATCAATTCTTTCTGGCGATGTATTGCACCGGAAGTTGACCAAGTCTACAAGCATAGAGAAATCAGGCTCATCGTAAATACGCAAGGTATGGGACTCGGATCGGGGACTTACTCGGGGAAGATGAAATGGAAAACGGCGAAGGAGGTGGCAAATGCAAAGATTTATCCGGAGAGAATTATGCGATTGGTTGGGAGAGAACCCATGGGGTGGAAAAAGGCGAACTCACGCCGTTTCCAGGAGAGCAGGAGAGTAAAAACAAAAGCGTGCGAATGGAGCGATGGGCTATATAGGGTTGGACCGAGCAGGTAGCCGCACGATCGCAGGCACGTGTCCCTTGCTGCGCGTCGGGCGGCAATCCGTGCTCGTCGATTGCTTTCGGCCCCTTGTGCTTCACCTCTACGCAAGAGCCTGCCCGGTCTGCCCCGCTCCCCCTCCCCCGCCCGGGCCCTTCCTCGAGCCTCGGTCGGCGTTCCATCCCGGCCCGTGCTGCTCGTCGGTCCCTTTCGCTCGCTTCATCTGTTCGTCGTTGGTTCGGTGGCTCGCTCATTCGCCACACCTCCCTCCTCCTCCTGCTCCTCGTCCTCCAGCCGAGCCCCGAGGCCTGACTACTTCGTGACAGAGACCGATCGCCCTTCATTCTCAGTTTTCTTAGATAGTGCTCGGCTCCTGCTGCCTGCCTGCTCGCTGCTCGCCCGCTCGCTCTCGCGCTTTTGTTGGCTTCGATCATCATAATTATCATCGGTAGAATTGGCCTGCAACAAGTGGGTGTCTCTCTCGGTCCTCTTGTCTCCTGCGCGTGACTGTCGTCGAGGGTTTCGTTCGGCTTGTTGGTTGTGCTTGCTTCTTGCTTGCTTGCCGTCTGCTTGCGGGTAGTTTGTGTTGGGGATTGATTATCTTGGCGGAGCGGTGGATGTTGTCGATATTTTGCATGTGACGCAGGTCTGATCGGTAGGTCGGTTCGGAGGGTGGGGTTGCTTGTTTCTAGGGTGGGACGAGGGGCCTGTCGAGAAGTCGTCGTCTTGTTGCTGGTTCCGTCGGTTGTTTGTGGGAGATTGTTGTTGACGTTTGCGTGGCCTGCTCGCCTCAGTTCCATCGCATCATCGCTGGTGCAGTGCAGTTTCGGTGCATCGCTGATTCACGGCTGCTCGGTTCGGTGCTTTCGCTTCTTCTTGCACGTCTTATTGACGTTCCTTGGTGTTGGTTCTTCGCCGTCTATTGATTGTGAAGAATTGGGAGGGCAATTGAGAAGTACTTGAAGGACGACGACCTTCGGACGACAGGTGGTCGGTTGCTGGTTGGTTGTTCGGTTGTGAGAAGGGAAGAGACGCGTGCGCTTGTTCAGGGAGCGGAGGAGTAAAACGTCGAGCGAAGAAGAAAGTAGTAGCAGCGGCAAGATGACGGGGAAGAGGAGTTCGTTCAAGAAGGAGCATCCGCTGGAGAAGAGACAGGCCGAGGCGTCGAGAATTCGTAACAAGTATCCCGACAGAATTCCCGTTATTGTGGAGAGGGCTGAGAAGAGCGACATCCCGGACATTGACAAGAAGAAGTACTTGGTGCCGGCCGACTTGACCGTGGGGCAGTTCGTGTTTGTGATTCGTAAGAGGATCAAGCTAAGCGCGGAAAAGGCTATCTTCATCTTCGTGCGGAATGTTCTTCCGCCTACGGCCGCCATGATGTCTGCTATATACGATGAACATAAGGATGACGATGGCTTCCTATACTTGACATACAGTGGGGAGAACACGTTCGGTGATTTGAACTCACAGTTGATGGCATGCAATTGCCTTCCTCTGGTTTAGATAATCCGTTCGCTAGATGCGAAAAGGAAACTCACAGGAGACCAAAGAATGTGCGATGCAATTGGGCTGATTTTTTGTATATAGATCGTGCCGTCTCCTTTCTGTACATAGGTCATGTCCATGGCTCTTCTTCTCAAGCAAGGTTCTCTTCATTTAAATAGCCCTTTTGTTGTTGATCAGCATCTCTTCCAGGATGGCTCATCAGCTTCTCAATTTGAGCCCGATTAGGCCTTGCGAAACTCTTATTTCTTTTCCATAGTTTGTATATTTTTTGAAGTGGCTAGTTTACCTGTCCCGATTTCAAAACTATCGTTTTGGTTTTTGGCCATATAACTTCAGGACAAGATTCTGTTTACAATTGTGAAGTAAGGTTATCTGCACTTCTACATCAACTGGCTGTTTCCAGTTGGTAGTGTCGTACCTTGATGAAGTAAGGCGCTCATTTCTTGAATTGCCTTGCATGCTTGGCCTTCCAATGGATACACGTCTGCCTCATGTATATGCCCTCTATCCTTGAAGGCGAGGAATCGGTGCCTGCTTTGAGGGATGCAGTCGATTTGTAGATTGTCCTGGTTTACAATACACAATTGTATAAAGGTAATTTGATCATACCTTGGCCGCTGATTGTGGCGGGTTGCATCGAAATTCTGGAAGCATTCAATTCATCTCTGCTGTTCCAATACCTTATAGTTACAGGCATGAACTTTCTTCAATGACAGTTGTTCTTTTAAGTTAATTGTCATTTTGCTGCGGATGATCGCTCACCGATTGCATCTACATCTACTCGTGAACGTCAGAATTTCATCTCGACGACGGAAGGAATAGTGGCATGATTCTAAGATGGGTTGATTAGATGGATAAAATTATGATGCATGGCGTCAAGTAATGACCGCTGAAGTATTGTAGATAGTTCTAATCTCTTCGCAGGGATTGTTGTCATTCACGGAAGGTATAGGGTTGAGCGTCTTGTTGAGACTTCGTCCACGTCGACATGGGAACCGTTTCACTATTCAAAGAACAGATTCCTCATACTTGCTACTAGTAAACTAGGTCATTGTGGCTGAAGTAGTTTTTTCCTTCAAAGCCTGCAAGGGGGACCATCCACGCTTTTGGTTTTGTCCGAAGAACTCGACTCAATCTTCGATTGGAGTTGTCACACAGTATCTGAAGATGTCGATAAGTTGCAAGGTGCAAGATCGTTGCTGCTATTGAGAAGAAAGTTAACAATTCACTTCGGCCCCGGCGATGTTGAGCATGTGTATACTTCGCGTCACAATTTGCCTCATCATAAGCTACTCGAGGCCTGGTTACGTGAAGTAAACAAGTGGTCAAATGATCTGGGCCAGGCATCTCTTTGAAAGTAGACTGTCTGTTGACTCACAGGATTAAGTAACACCGACCACGTGGGTATGCCGTCTCATACGTTGAGCTCGCATGTGTGATGCTTTTAGGCCTCGGGGCGCAGACGGTTATCTCTTGTCTTGCTGGTCTAGTAATTCCTAAGTAAAGTGATAACGTACTGACCTCAGTTCTCTTTTAAGTATACTAGGTTTGCAATCTGTGATACATCAGTTGTTGGCAATACTCAAATTATGCCAACATTTGACCGCGATCAAAGTTTTAAAATTGACAGCAGCTGGATCCTAGTTAGACCATATAGCAGATTCGAGACTATACGCCTCGTATACATACGCGTCGGTTCGGCTTCGGATGTTTGGCAGGAGATATAGGAATAAGAGGTTGTTCGTGTAAACACGAAAATGGAAGAACATCCACATGCATACGCAGTATTGGCACGAGAAAAGTTTTGCCGTAGATCGGTAACCTTGGACCTAAAGACAGGAGCCCAGCAGTGTAGTCAATGATGTTGAAATTACTCTTTAGTCGATGGCGCGGCCAGAGCGATGTTGCAAATGAAAGAGACCGGCGATTGAAAGGAGTAACATGAACTTGCTCTAACGTGGTATTACTCATGTGGCGAAAATATACACGTTTTGATGATCCATGAGCCTACGACTGATACTTTGTCAGTAATAGCAGTATTAGAGCCTGAGTTTTAACCCCTTGTTACATGATGTGCATTCACGGAACTAAACATCTCTCGCGATTATCAATCAACATTTGAAGTTATACCACAATCTTTTACCTTTCATACCATTTTTTGGGGGTGTAAGATTTATATTAGATCTACCTTCTATGGTGCATATACTCTATGCATTGCATCCAAAATTCACTAAACCGTTGTAACGTGCTGGCCGATCTTGTTTCAACCCGAATTAAGGCATGGAACTAACCTCGCTAGACTTAATGATATTTATCATAAAAATTATTTCTTCTAATCTTCACAACTTATTGAATAAAGTTTAGCACAAAATATTAACAATCCTAATAGACTTGATTGATACATCAACACCCATTGTCGTTACTGAATATCCAATTGTATGGTTTTAAAGCTTTGAGTAATATATTTTGTTCTGAATATATACTATATTGAGATGGCGAATTATCTCTTACATCCCACAATATATCTCAAATTCTCTAGAAATGTATTTAGACTTGTTGTCTGTTGATAAAAGTCTCAATTTGATGCACATCTTATTCCTTTCATTTCTTGAAATAAATAGAGATCTCAGATTTCCATTGTAGATTATATTTTTCACAAAAATTCAAATTAATCATCAATAAAATAAACATGATACAACTTTCAAGTATGTATACAATTCATATTGGAATCCGACTCATCACTATGTTTAAATTCCAAAAACTCATTATTACTATGAATTTTAATTTCCAATATCTCAATTTGATATCATGATCTAAACCCACATGTTCACAAAATTCTAAACTAATAGATTGTAGTGTAGAGATAAATTTTTTATTGTTAACAATGAACATGTTTTTATTTATTCTAAGAATAAACCTAATCTTTATTGACGAGTAATCATTCTCATTGTGAAATTAAGATATATGAACTTCTCCATAAAAAAATGTTGTTCTTCCTATTTGTGTGACTACTTACTTCCAAATGATTTTTTCTGAGTCATAATCTAAAACACATAATCAATTACTTTGCATTGATGATCAAATGGATATAACATACAAAGATCATATTTTTAGTCACGTTTGCAATATATTAGCCATTTTTTGATGTATGCATGCAATTATCAAATATCTAAAATTTCACAAATTTAATGTTTTTATTTAGACCAGATTGATCATTTTACATAAAAATTGTATGTTTGATATGAAGTAAGTTATAAAGAATAACTCTAAATAATACATGTCATATTTCATACACATTTGCTAATTGATTCAGCTAATTTTTGCTCACATGAAGTGCAAAATGCCAACCGATGATATCATAGTTGGCATCGAACAACTCATCTTTATATTTTTACTTGTTGGTAGCAACATCTGTTGAAGAAGATTTGTTTGAGTTTTGCCTTTGCCCTAGTTCCAACACACCATAATCTTCCTATCTTGAGATCTTCTACTTTACATATATCTAGTTTTGAAAATTTTGTTGTCTCAGTTTCATTTCATGTCTTTGAGGTGTTCCATGATTCACATTTAACCATGATCCACGATCCACACATATATTATGAGATAAATGTTTCAAAGAATTCACATCAAGCTGAGAAGTACTCTTACACTCAGCAATGCACGGGAGATACGAAGTTCATCTATGCCTACGAAAGCTTTCTGCTAGCTCTCTTACATGGTGATATAGGATTTTCGGTTTGCATCATCCATAAACATAAATATCCAAAAGAACTTAGTTCACTCCTAAGAGTATATGATTAAAAAGATCCCATCATCTTTTGCTGAAGATCATTTGTTGATTGATCACTCATCACCTCATTTCATTATGACTGAACTATCATCATAGTTCGGTCATAATGAAACGATAGACATGATAATATTCAGGGAGTGAATTCAACTTGTATCGTTTTTTCCTCCCATCACTCAATAAGTCACCAAGATTCATCAAGTACAAATAAAATAGATCTGGAAGTAATGGAAAGCCTTTAACCAGATTGTCATCAAGGGATACAGTTACGAAGTCTGTGCCAGGACGATGAGAAAAACTGTCACTCGTTTGTTGGAAGACAGGATGTTAGCCTATGTAGGCAAGGGAGATGCAGCTGTTGTTGAAGTTGATACTAATGGGGGAATTAGTATAGTGGAGCCATTGATACTGCAGGGTGTAGATTGGAATTCTTGTGCGTTGTTAGCATTAAACGTTCTGGTTAACTCCACCAAAGTGGCGCCAATTCTAGCTGGACAGTGCTTAAAGAGTTCTTTCTTACATCCATGGTCGGCTAATGTCGCACTGATATGTTGTAGTGAAGAACTTTCGTACATGAATTGGAGGAGTTGATGAATCCTATATGTAGTTTCTGTACACCCTTGCATTCCCTCCGAATCATGGTTCCTTCTTCAGTTTACGGTACACTGTTGCTCTTCTACTCGTTCTTGTTCCCCTCTCTTTTTCGTACGTTGCTTTTTGTCTCTTATCCTTAACCGTCGGCCACTACAAACCGTGATTCAGTACTTCTTTTGTTTACAAGGTGCGAGCAGATTGTGTATTACTCTTGTGCATGTCAACTACGTCGATGTCATGTCGATGCTTCATACACTTTCTCGATCACGAACCTGCTGTCATTACGCCATGGTGTCATTGCACCAAATCTACTAACGAGGGCCGCTAAAGTAAAAAAATTATATATTGAGTTGTTTATTGGGACCATATAGGGTAGAGATTTTGACGTTTGTCAAATCAATCCTAATCTCAATGAAATCAGTGATGACTGGTTGCATTTGTATAAACCGTATATATAGGGTGTGTATTGATCCATCTGGCATAGTCATGACATCAATGACATGCAATACCTTTCTCAGTGACATAGGTTCTTTTCTTACCGCTAAGGAACGGGAAAATTTGTAAGTGTGGAGGTTTAAATTATTTCTATATACATATTTATATATTAAAAGATGTTATTCTCTTGGTTTGTGTCTTACTCGGCCTGATGGTATCTTCGAAAGTTTTATTTCCTTGTGACCACCCAACTTTGATGTAAAAGAAACATGACCATCTTAATATTTCCTTTGCTTTTAAGCTTAAAAAATCCAGAGGGTGGGATCTAAGACGCACATATACGACACTCCTCGGTAGGTTTTAGAATACTCTCTATAATGACTTACAATTAAAATTAACTTACAGTTGATGATATTCCTGTGAAACTAAAAACGAACAAAGATGAGTTACAGAGGGATGAGTGTCTTTGACGCAAGGCTGGCGAGAACAACAGCCAGATGTGTATAGTTACTGCACAATGAAAAGTAAGGGTGTAAACTTCGTGTATCATATTAGTTTACCGTAAAGCTTCACTCCTCGTACCCTCGATGAACGGAACAGGTAAACACGTTACACCGAAGTCTTTACCACAATCCGAGACTAGTTTGGAAACACATAACCAAACTACGTAACGGGAGTATTACTCTCTTGGATCGACCTTCAGAAAAATGCTACTGATGAAAGTGAATAAGAAATAGTCCATTGATATGCCCTAGAGGGGCAGCTATCTCCAGCAACATGTTGAGTGAACGTCGAGGGAAAACAAGATCCCGTGATGCCAACGAGATCTTGGGCATATAAGGGCATCACACGAAGCGAGTTACTACTACAAGACTATACAGAATCGCACCAAAAGTGCAGCATACTTTAGGGGAAAAAAAAAGCTGTCAGAAGGCTAAGGCGACTTGCTAAACCAAACAGGTACAGAGCATTATAAATAGAATGACCGAAAGCCCCAAGTTTCATTGTTATCCCCACATCCTCCCTCTGAGTCAACTACTACGCAACGTAAGTACATAGGAGGACAACAAGATACAGGACAAGACAAATGGCGAATATTAAACGTAGCTCCCCGTTCAGCTCAGAAACATACTTCCTTGAAATCATTACAGGTCACAATTTCACAATGCAGGAGTGTACCTCTAGGCCCAACTAATTCTGGAAAAGCAATAGTCCTTGCTCAGTGTCCGACGTGTACTTATCATAAAGCTATGTTGGCTAGAACTCAAGTCGAACTATGCTCAACAGGGCCCAAAAGAGAGAAAACAAACACTCCGTTTTGTTTATAGTATACAATCACATGCTTGCCACTGTGGTACGACATTTGCCGAGTACTTCGTGTAGGTTTTTCTATATTACAATCAATGAGCATACACGGTATCGTTTCTTCTAGGAGGCCGATCAGGTACGGTGCCTGTAAACAAGGATGGAGCTTAGTTGTCCTTGGACCACGATAACACCGCTAAAACATAAACGTCACGAGAAACGCAATTGTCTAGATGACAACGTGGACCTTCGTTTTCAGCATAGGACTTTTTTGGGCAAGCGAGACAAGTTCAGGATAATATGAAACTGGATTCAAAATTGCCGACTTAAGCGGCTCAAAGCATCATTAAGCTAATAGCAAACTGTCATGTGAAAATCAAACTGATTGCATAAATAGCCAGTCCCGAAAAGAAAAAATTTGAATTACTCACAGAAACTTACGAAATATCACAGCCATATCCAGAAAGCTCACCAAAAATGATCGTCAAAATTGATCATCAAAGATGGCGAACCGAACCTGGTTTGAACTTGGAAGCTTCATGTCTTGATAATTCAGGGGGAATAGGACTGTTGCTCTGCATAAGCATCTGCAAGTACGAACCAAAACACGACATGCACATGGTTCAATGTCGTTCTTCTAGAAAGGAGCACTAAGAAATTTGATTGACAAAAACTAAGAATATTGATTGATTACTGAGAATTTTGAAAAAAGACAAAGGAGAAACTTTTACCTGTTTCAAGTCATAGAACACTTCCGTGTCTCCAAGTGTCAAGAACGTCGTGGCTATTCCGGTTTTTCCAGCACGACCCGTACGACCTAGAGGTAGCCAACAAGGGTTGTTATCAAACTCGACTCACATGGAGTTAACTAGACATTACAGCATACTGACCACCTGCTAGTAAGTCTACCACTTTTCTGCAGCTAGGAACATCAAAGCATTCACAGAAAAGCACGTACCAATTCGATGAGTATACTGTTCAATATTGTTGGGCATGTCAAAGTTCAACACATGCGCCACATCCTGCGCCAATTAGACATGGAACAAGTAAGCCATATGTGAAGGTTGAAACGTCTCGGGGTTAGAAGTGTCCACAGTCCCGGGAGTGACCCAGTTCTGGAACTTCCCAACATTATTTCAATAAATATTTCTTACTGGTGCCCTAACTCGGATTCCCTGACTTAAATGAAGAAGTTTTTCACTGGGGTATGTACTCACAGGTATATCGATACCACGTCCAGCAACATCGGTTGCAACCAGACAGTTGTAACGTTTATTTCTGAAGCCCTCCAGACTTATCTGCAAGCAAGCGAACGATAACATGCGAAGATAAGAAAGTTGGTAACTAAAAGTATCCAGAACATTAGGTCTATCAATAAGGCACAAAAACACGAAGGAGAGTGGTCTTTGCAAAAAAAAAACCAGAACAAGAGGAGTGGCTCATATTTTCTTCCATTAAGTCGGTTCAGTCATACCTCTCGCTGCTCCTGGGTTTTCCCACCATGCAGTGTGGTCACTCGGTAGCCTAACCTATCAAGCTGCCTCGACAATGAATCAGCAGATTTCTTTGTGTTCACAAAAATAATTGCTGTCTTGTCTCCCATGTCATTGAGAACACGCTGCAACCTGGAAACGGGAAAAAATATATTAACAGCTAGTTCCGCGATATGAAATTTTCGCGGAACAAATCAAATTTTGACAACAAACGCAGTTATTTCAGGATTGTGCTCGTTAGAGTTTCAGTAATTAAAACTAAAAAAATGGCATCCTAATCTACATCTTCACCGATCGTAAAACTTGTTTGTCGTCCAGACATCCACAAACTATCACACGGAAACTATTTCACGAGTCTCACCTGTCCAGTTTCTCTCCATCTTTCAGCATCATAACATGCTGAGTAATCAGATCTGTTGCCTTTCCGGCAGTTCCGATAGTCACCTACAACAACAAAAATTGCTTTCTGTAAGATCTTTTTACTTCCCGCATGTTCAAACCGCATATTACAGTTTGCAGAGAACTCAACCTCAGGATAAGTCCTTAAATCAAGATTTTACGCAGCGTAGGTACGCAGTTCTCTGATACGTTCAAAATACGAGATTGTCTCACCACGACGGGGTTTCGTAAATATTTGCGAGCCAACCGTTCAACGGCGGGAGGCATAGTAGCGCTGAACATATATGTTGTTCGGTATATTCTCTTCTCATCAAGCTCCTGAAAAACATATAAAGAATGCAACCATAAGTGACTGATTACATAAGCTTCAGCAGAGATCCAAGGCTGTACGCAATCAAGGGTATCGAGGGGACATACCGCATCTTCGTTATCTGGTTTCAAGTTGCTAGATGGCATTGCATCCAAGACTCCGACAACCTGTTCCCATTTACCACACATGTTGGTTAATAAGCTCTCTGATGACTGTTAGATATTTATTGTACAAAAACAGCTATGGACGAAAGCCTTATAAACTAGCACTACGCATGATCTATACACCAGATTTCTTGAACTTTACAACCAACTACTAAAGCTTGGGAATTCAAGTTTACAACCAAAATAAGTTAGAGGACAACGATATAATTACTTGCGGCTCAAAACCCATGTCGATCATGCGATCAGCCTCGTCAAGAACAACATAATTACACTGGTTCAACACAGCATATCTGCGAGCATTACACGTTTCACATATTTAGCGGCAACAGAAACAGGACATTACACAGGTCGAATGTGACGGGATTGATTGTTCATAATTTCAAGTTGAACACCATGGTTTTATATGCCGCTACACATCCCCTCTAAACTTCCAAACGTAGAGCTTGAAGTGCTTACCTTCTCTCCAGACAATCCAGAAGTCGACCAGGTGTGGCTATGACAATCTCACAACCCTACAAACACAAGAAAATAAAGGCCTTCACTACAAGTCGTTTTGACGACAAAGATTCCAATCTTAGGAGGACAAAAGAGATAAAAGATTTTTGTTAACTCCGCAATGCAGCCAGATCTTGTAAAGTAAAACTACGCTATAATGGAAGGCGACAAGAAATGCGGATGCAATGTAAAGGATTTTATGCGCTTCTCACCTGCCGTAATTTGAAACCTTGCTCCTCGATCGACTGACCTCCAACAATGGATACCACTCGTATGTCCTGATATGGAAACACTTCAACATCATCACTTAATCAACTATAAAAACCTACATCGGTACCCAATACCCCTTAGTACCAAACAACAGCTAGTAAGTACTAACAGCCAAATACATGAGCTTGAGTGGATAGTCTTACAAGATAATGTGCAAACTTGACCGTTTCTTCCTCAATTTGTTGTGCTAGCTCTCGTGTAGGAGCCATGACTACAGCGTAAGGACCTGTGGGACAAAGTGCGCACCTTTTAAAAGGAACTCAAGACCTCTGGCTATGCAACACAACGGTAGAAAGGAGAAACAAAATGCTCACGTTCCAAGTAATGCTCCACTTGATTCTCGACAAAGACATTCGGCGACAGTCCACAAACTCATATTGCCGCAAAGCAAACTCTTACCTTCCGCTTCGATCTCTTCGGTCATAGGAGGCAGCTTTGAAATGTAAGTAAGCATAGGCAAGACAAAGGCTGCAGTTTTTCCAGAACCTGCAAGAGCATACGATTTGGAACGTTAAATACCACATTTACTGAGACCCAGAAATAGGTCAGGGACTCATTATTGAGCCGGAGTCTACAGAAAGTCAGATCCTGTCTCCGTGACAAGATTTGCATGATTGACATACATCTGTACTTCGAGGTACGTAGCCAGAACTATATAATGAAGCGATCAATAATTGCATGACACTATCTGATTTGCACAGTAATTGCGGCGAAACGTTAATGTCATGGAACATATGAATCCCATGAAAGAAATATGGCTATGTCGGGAAAAAATCTAACCAACAAAGAAGAAACTCTGGACAAGGTGCTAGCATAGAATAAGCTAAGCAGAAATAAGAGAAGCAATCTGACCTGTCTCTGCTATTCCAATAACGTCTCTTTGCTGAAGCCCTATTGGGATTGCGGCCATCTGAATTGGAGAAGGTTTTTTATAACCTGCCTTAGCCACCGCTTTCAGCAGCTCTGGACTCAAGCTTCCCTCTTCCCAGTTTCGCATTGGTCGGGGAATCCTAGATCCCTGAAGTTATACAAGCTTGTTAGTCGTGACACAAAAAATTTAACACAACTTTATAATGGTTCTATAGCGAAATATACACGCCTTCAGAAATTCTCAGCCATAAACAATCATTATCAGGCATTTTATTTCGACTAAGGAGTTAGGTAGAAATACGTTTCAGAGCTGTGAAGTGTGGGTCACCTTGTAAGATATGTTGAAATCTTCCCGGAAAATACGCCAATCTCTTTCGGTCATTTCTTCAATCTGGAAAACCCAACAGGCGCAATAAAATGTGAGGCAAGCCTACAGAAGAGCATGTAAAGGGTGAGCATCCGGCAGATAGCTCGACGACACTTACAACATAGTATAAGAAGTTTAGCTCAAGAAGAATCAAATGAAGTGACGTACAGCTCAAGTTCCAACTCGAACAAGTATCTGACTGTGAAGCAAGCAGATGTCAAAGTGGAATATAAAGGATCAACTAAGAACACGACAACAATTCAAAGAAAGCAAATACACTTATGACGACTTTGTGAGAAAGAAAGTGTTTCACTTTCGCCAACTGTTTCAACCACATTGCTGAGAAGTTAGATAATTGCGTCCCACATTACAGACCTTCTTCTCAGACCAGTGCCGATCTACACGCATGTCAAACGTATCATAAACGTTGGCTGCTTCCTCTTTCTGCTTTTGAGCTTCGGCCTCCTCCGGCCTTTCCTCAACTCCGTCTTTGGCCTGGAGAACAAAGAGAAGAACGTTACAATATGTAAGCTACCAGAATGAACTCAATGTACACAACCCTTCAACAATATTTCTCAGTTGTAGCAAAAACAGCCTGTTTTAAGCGGGAACAAATCACAATATTTTACCCGAATCTCCGCTCGCAAGTCCTTCTCATTTTTTGCTGCTAGCTGCACAGAAAAGAGCCTTTGGGTCACATTTCGCATGCCATCTCTCTTTCCATACGACTTCTTCCGATAAGGTTCGTCACAAATTAAAATGACACGTCATCAACGACAACGGCCGAAAAGGACAGACCCGGTAGAAACAACCTTAGGGGCTGTAACTATGGCATAAATAGCTTCTGACAAGCATCGATTTATATGATATGCGATATAAAGTAGAACATAAGAATAGCTTAGCATCGAGGTGAAGGAGTGGACGAGTACAACAAAAAACAAGATATTTTGCCCTAAATATCAACGATGAAATTCAAGTCATAACCAATTCATAGCCTTCTTCATGGTCATTGTACTTTCAATTGTCCTTTTGAAAGTCCACGTTCCGTGCATAAATTCTTCATCTTTAAGTTGTAATGGCAGGTTCTGGTATAATTCTCATGTCTCAGCCTCAAGAATGTCAGCAACGGTAAATGGAAATGACTTAAGCAGATCCACATCCGGGTTGACTTTGACATTGATGTGTGCAAAATTCAGCGTTTTGACCTCATGATTCAAAGCATCTGCCGTACCAGAGTTTTCAAGCATCCAGAAGAAAGTGTGCAGAGACAGTGCTGAAGATACCTTCTTTTGCTCCCTGCGATCCATTCCCGCCCGGAAACCACGTCCAAACAGAAGTTGTGCTTCATGAGGGTTTTGGTAGCTGCATTACGCACGTAAAAAAAAAATTAGTACGAGATTTACTCCAAGAATGATTATCCTCAGTAATGAGACTGGGGATATTATGGTCTCAAAAAGCCCATACTTGTACTCTTCTAAGGGTCTCACATCTTCTCCCCTTATCAGTGAACGAACATTTGTGGAGGATGAGAAAGAAAAGGCCGGCAAAATAGGAGAACAAGCGCGTGAAACCATCATGCTTCAATGTTCAGCAAAAGATCAATCAAGGAGGCATCTGAAAAAATTTGCGACAGAAATTACAGCAAACAGCTGGCGGATGCTCTGATAATATAAGAATGTTACATGGGATTCATATCACGTGAAGTGTCTTCAGTGTTCTCCCAATCAAAAGAGAAGCGAAATTTTTCACTTGGCTTGACGACGCGCTTCTTCAGCTTCTTGGCACCGAGATACTGCATAAAAACAAATGATTGGCATGAGTAAATACCACATCCAACAGAGCGAGCCATTTTAGAGCTTTCCAGGAAGAGAAAACCAAGGAACAAACTAGACTATCCAACGACATAGAGCAGGACAACCTCAGTTACACACATAACAAGAAGGTTCATACCTGCTCCTTGATGGCTTCTAGTTCCTTTTCCCTCTCTCTGGTCATCTGCTTCTCTACACGCTCTCTTTTCGCCTCCTCTTCTCGTTCACGTTCCCGCTCTCTACGTTCACGATCCCGCTCTCTTTCATGCTCTCGCTCTCGATCTCTTTGACGTGAGCGATCTCGGTCTGTAAAAGCAATTTTTCAGGCTACGGGTTTTATAAAGTCAAAAACTTCTATTGGTTTGCGATCAGTCGGTTAATAAGTGAAGACGAAGGATGCAGAAAGGCAAAACATCTAGTAGCAAGCGAGAAGTAGTTAGTCGGGAGTAAAAAACTTGCCACCATCGTGCTCTTTCCGTGAAGACTCTGACGGCATACTCAGGAGCTTCCGCTGCTCTTGTTCCCTGAAAATGAGATCGAAAAGCGTATTCAGTCTTCACTCTCATATATTGACATCATCAAAGTACACTCCTATTGCTCGCCAGGCTTCGTGGGAAGTAAATTTGGTCCGCCTCTACTTATCGTCTGCTCTTGAAAGTCTCCAAAATGAATGTTGGTGTACGACAATGTTTCTGTAGGTAATGGGGCCGTAAGCCTGACGCAAAGACGGCGATAGGCATATGCTTGCTCCTAAGTTTACCTCAGATGTTCGGAAAGTCAACAAATGCTATGCATTGTGCAACAACATGAGTTTACATTCCACGATGACTCGATGTGTTAAGTACGAAGAGGTTCACAAAAACTACAGACACATTTCACCAGATTCATCATGCCTCAAAAGCTGATACCAGTACACAGAAAAGCCGGCAAAGACCGTGAAATTCAACGCATAACCTTTTCCGCTGCTCCAAAACTTCTTCCTGGCGACGCTTGATGGCAAGTTCCGCCCTTTGAGCCTTGGTTAGAAACACGGGCTGTCACATCCAAGCAAATACAGAGTTAGATAATGTGCGATCTAGGCTCAAAGTCGTACACAACAAGCCAAAATGCCTTCATTCTTTTCGTGTTTCCCCTTGTTTGAAGCTTAGAGAGAACTGTCTCACCTGGTTGACTGAGTTCCACACAATAATAAAGAAACACACACCTACACACCTGCAGAATTCAACCACCGAGCTTTCGGCTCCTGGTGCTTGCAAAGACCTGTAAGTAGAGCCGATCAAGTTTGCTTTCTTGTCATACCCATCATGTACCAGTCCCAATATCCCAACACATTCTACGATAAATTGCACGACTGCAGTTCGAACACAACTTTGTTTCTTACCTCTCGAGGCCCCCCAAAACCAGGAAAACTCGGTACACAGTTCGGTTTGTCCAAAGTCGTACCACATACGGTAAGCTAAACAGTCTGAAGGTGTTGGTTGCCTCTAATATATTTGAAAATTATGACAGCTCTGCATCAAGAAAAGATGCAAGAGCTGCTGTGATGGAGAAGAAATTGAGAATGAGACCTGTGAAGAAATATTGCTCCATGGCTACTTCCAGAAAGCAAAGCCACAACCATGCTGACCTTTCACACCTGAATAACCTTTACGAGCGGTGCAAAGTACTAGGAAACTAACAGAAACCCTTGTTCTTATATGTCATGAGCCTTATGGTGTAATTCCTCCATCTTACTGACTGGGCAGATAGAGCTCGAAAGCCATCTTTGAGTTTAGTGCGTCAATTGGCAGTTTGAAAGCGCTACCAACCTTGCACACAGCAAATATAGCGTGACAAGAAACACTTCGAACAACCAACTCCTCAGGTGGACTTTCAGGGGTTCAAACACAACAAAGATGTGGTCATGGTCCAAAGCTCATTTGCCTGAAAATTCAGAGGAAAATGACTAGAGTGGAATTGCGATCATCAACCGGCCATTTAGATTCCGACCATTAGAGAACCAGATACATAAAAGTCATGCTCACTTGAGGATGGAGCCGATTGTTTCTCGAAGGGATCAAATGAATGGATAAGTATTATGTACCTTAGCTTGTTGCAGTGCCTCCTCCTTTTTCTTTTTCAAAATTTCTTCCAAAGAGAGGGGCTGGAAGCAGGGAGAGAAACGTTAGATTCAAGAATTATAATATTGTCACATTCCGTTGTCAGAAAGGAAAGATAAATAAACTTTGTGCAATTCGAGTGCAATCCTCACCTCAAGTTTTTTGGCTTCCCCCATCTGAGGGCTTAGACCGTCTTCACTTTGCTTTTCCAAGTGAGCCTCAACCTTCACTTCCTCGTGGATTTCTCCCTCCTCTTCCATGTCATTGTCCACCTTGGACCTCTCCACAATCCTTTCCGCCTCAAATCCAGCATCCCTTTCCCTCTCTCTTCTTTTATCGATGACTTCCTCCATCCGCTCTTCCGCCTTCGCATACTTTAAGTCGCCATCTTCTCCATCTTTTCCTTTCAATTCCTTCTTGTCACGGCTGTGACTCCTGTGACTTCGATCTCCACTACGACTTCGGCTTCTGTGAGAATTCCTCCTATCACGACTCCGGCTCCTGCTTCTATGACCATCTTTACTATCATTGCTACGGCTCCGACTTCTGTTTCTAGGAAAACTGCGCCTGTCTTTCCTATCCCTTTCTCGACTTCGACTCCTGTGAGAAACTTTTCTGTCCTTGTCACGGCTACTCCTATCGATCGAACGACTCCTGCTTCGTCTTGACCTTTTCCTGTCTGACCTCTCACCGCGTTCTAAGCTCCGGCTGGGAGAATGATGATCTCCTCGATCACTTTCTCGTTTGTGCTTTGACGTGTGGTGTTCACGGCGATCACGCTCGGATTTGTGAGATGCACCCCGGTGTGAGTGATACTGAATTTCAGATGGTGACGACGGCACATAGTCGTGTGTTTCTCGCCTGCCATCTCTCGATGGCGCCATTGTCACTACCACTTCCCCGTCCCCTCCTCCCCTGACGTCAAGAGAAAGCAGAAGTAAGAACTGGAGATAACTATATTTCTACGGATGAGGCAATTGCCCAGAAAATCGCTTTTCCAAATTCATGCCTGAAGGCCGAAAAACTCGGTACAAATTTGTCGTTCAATATAGGTGATCTCTTCTTCAGATGTCGATAAAACTCGCGAATCTGACAATTTCGTACTTCTCTGCGGTGACGAATGTTCTTCAAATGTAGAAACCAGAATGAGGCATACGCAACAAGAATCAGGCTTGTGAGAATATAACCTCGTTCTCAGTTGGCCAGCCCTTCAATTCAGAAACGATCAGATATACTTACAGCGGTAGAGGTCGAATTTGGGCCAAATATTCTTGAGTTATCACTTCAGTGCAAGCTCCCGCTAAATGTTCGACGTACTCGGCGCCCCTCTCCCTCTCCCCCACTCCGAATTTGCGAACTGTTACTGGTATCGAATTCTCCGTTCAACTCCAAACTATCCTCTGCAATTGAGAGACTGCCATCTGTGGTTCGAACTTTCCCTCTGCTTGTCCTGACCTCGACCACACCTCTCCGTCTAAGGAAGAACGTACGTGATTTTAGGTTTATGTTCTCGTAGCCCATATCCATCTCCGTATCCTGTCTGTTCTACCGACCACGGATACTATAGAACCAGTTCCTTAACATTTCACTTCTACCTTAGATTATGAGTTTGGAATATGAGGAACATCGGATGTTTCTCTAATGTTTCAGTCCTTACCAGAAATTATCAAGTGCATTGAACTAAATAACGGTCTACCTTATGTTGTGAATTCATGGCACTTACCATAAACCTCACAATCATAGTGTGGAATAAGATAATCAACAGTCTCTAAATGTACAAATTCATGGAATTGGAACCAGATATCATTGATAATCACAAGAATAATCGAAACGTTCATTTGAATACATACAAGAAAACATCATTGCACATCGTATTAGATGCATGCAAAATCCTGTACTTGAAGTAGAGGAATATGAACATGATTGGTTCTATTGTGAAAACTTAAGTTTCCTAATATTTAATGTTACAAAATGGTGTTGTTATTAACTTCAAATAATAATATATCCAAATGAATAGAAATACTTGTGAGAGACAGCGTGAGACGCTAAGAGGCCCACTTGCGATACTACATACTTGGAGAGTTGTGTTACTCCACTATTACATGTTAATTCAGACAACGTTAATTTACATCACAAAATTACAGCCTAAAAACTTAAGAATATATCAAACAAATATTTATTTGTTAAAATAATTTTTTTGCATTGAAATTACTAGCACAAAATATCTACATATGAGTTGTTTCTTTTCTTTATAATTTTTAAAGCATATCTTTAAATGAGAAAAATATTTAAAATGTAAAATTCTTGATACATGTATAGGGCTAGTTGAAATCACTCATCTCCGTATTAAAACTTATAAGTTTATTTGATCTAATTATGTTTTGACATAAACTAGCTTTGTATGGGTTTCATTATTTTTCATCTCTTCAATATTCATTTCTAATTCATGAAAATAGAATTTTCAAATTTTTGTAATAGGAAAAAAAAGAATCTAGAAAGACGACAAAGAAAAAAAATGACTTGGAAAAGAAAAATACATGGTTCGTTATACATTGGATTACATACAAGGAAATAATCAACTTGCAAAATGTTCCAAGTGAGATGTGTATTGATATACTATAAATACATGGTAGTAAAGATTCTAACTCTAACACTAATTAGGTTATTGATAATACAGACTTTAACTCGAGTTAAATTAATTTGATTTTAACTCTATACTTGAATCATTACTAACAATCTTTTCCGAAATTCATGGTGCGGGAACACTAATTTCCATAATCTATATAGGTGTAACACTAGGGTTTAGAGAAAAATTTATTCGAAGATGGAAATATAAACACTAAAGATGAGAGATATCAACAATGTATCTCATCTCCATTTTATAGATCTCACCAACAAGTACAAGAAGATAATATCTTAGTCCACCTAATGGATGAATAACGTGGTGGATAACCCTAACAATCACACGGATTGTTGACGTGACGCTCCCAACTAACACACTCAATCTTAACATAACAAGGACACGGATCGTTGACGTGACACTGTTAACTAACGCACATACTCCCTACCTACCAAGCGCGCGGATCGTTGGCGTGGCAGCTATGACTAGTATACGCTAAGGTATATATATCAACATTTAGGGTAACATCTACTTTAGTTTTAACTAACTAAAGATGATTACAAACCTCCATACTTTTAAGATGCAACTTCTTCGTTGCATATACGTTCAAACTCGTGAACTATCAAAGGTGCATTTGCTAGATTTTTAGCTGGTATTTAAATTGATATATATAATGAAAGTCTATCCATTGATAGACTTTCAATTGAATCAAATACTATACTTTGGGATATTTATGATCTCAAATATATTTCTTTTTTCTACCTGAAACTCCTCATGATCAACTATCAATATTGGAAAAGGAAGTGATGTTGATTGATTGGTGAATTGTTTTCATTGTGATAAATGTTTTCGCAATCTTGACACATCAAATACTGGACGTATTTTCATATGTGACGGAAGTTCCAACTTATATGACGCTTCACAAACACGTTTCAAAATACAAAATGGACCAATGAACTTAGGGTTTAACTTTGGTGTTCTTACAAGAGACAAATTTGTTGTAGATAACTAAACATGATTTCCTACCTCAAAATCATTTCTTTATGATGAGCATCGGCATGCTGTTTTTGCCGATTTTGAGCCATTACCAACTTCTCCTTGGCCTGATGTAGTCCTCAGTAAATATGCGTCACAAATTAGTTGACTGCTGCAACTTTGGTAAAAATTCCTCTCCTTTTGGAAGTCTCATCAAACTTGAAAGAGTTAAAGTATGAGCTCCATACATGAAATAAAATGGAGACACTTTTGTGGATACATAAACAAAATTGTTATATGCAAATTTTACCAGTGGCAAAAGATTGTCACACACTTCTGGCTCTTCTAATAAAAATGCTCGTAGCATATACTCTATGGTTCTATTTGTCCTCTCCGTTTGTCCATCGGCTTGAGGATGATAGGCCATTGACATTGCTAGTTTTGTTTTGAAAAAACTAAACAGAGTTTTTTGAAATAAACTAGTGAAATGAATAACTCTATCCATGATTAACACTTTGCTTAATCCATGAACACAAAAACTACATCTAGATACAATTGAGCCAGTTTTGGAGTTGTAACCATTTTTGTGGTTGAACCATCTTGCTCAATTTGTCCACAAAAACCACCATTGAATCATGTCCTAACAAAGTCTTTGATAATTCACATTTGAGATCCATGGTGACATATTCCCATTGCTGTTCGGAAATAGGAAGAGGCTATAGTAAACTTGCAAGTTTTTTATTACTTGACTTATTTTGTTGACAAACAACACAACTTTGAACATAAGACTCCACATCCTCACATATTTTGGGCCAATAGTACACTCTTTGTATGCACTTCACGATTTTCTTCACTTCCAATGACTTGCAATAGATGTGTCATGACTTTAAGCCAAAATCATTATGCACAAATCTTGATCTTGTGGAATCCATATACGTTGTTTGTAGAACGTCAAACCTTGAGACTTTTCCGCCTTTCAAGTTTGTAGTGCTAGAGTGATGCCTTCATCCTCCTTTGTGGCTTGTGTCGTCTTGCTTCACCAATCAGCCTGAATTTTCACTTTTGCAACATGATTCAAACAAGGCATGAGTGTGAGAGCATCCGCAAGTTGCTTCTTGCCCTCCACGTACACAATCCTCAAGTTGAAGCGTTGACGTCACTTTGTCCATCAAAGTTGTAATTTAGACAGATACTTCTGAGTTTCCAAATAAACAAAGAGTTTATGATCGATCTCCATTACAAACTACTTATCACTCAAGTAATGTTTCCAATGTTTGGTTGCCAACACAATGGCTAATTACTTCCGTTTTGTCGTGTGATAATTTTGTTCTGCCGCCATCAACTTTTGATAATAGAAAGCAATTGGATGTCATCCATCCTCCCATTCTTGTTGAAGTATGCCACCTACCTTTGAACCTGATGTGTCTGTAGCCAACTTGATAGGACGGTTAGGATCATATCACTTGAGGATAAATGCATGTAACAAAACATCTTTTAATGCTTGAATAGTTAACTTTTGAGTTGTTCCTCATCTCCATTTTGAACTTTGCCTAACATGGAAGTCAAGACAGGAGCTAGATAAGCAAAATCTTTCAAAAATCTATGATAGAATCTAATGAGCGCTAGAAAACTCTTCAACTGAGTTTGATTCTTAGATGTTGTCCATTTCTCAATGGCATCTATCTTCTCACTCATCACTTAGATGCTTGCGGTTGTAACTCTATGATCCAAGTAATCTATTTTTGATTTGCCAAATTCACATTTTGAAGCTTTGGCATACAATTGATTGTCTCTCAAAACTTGAAATTTCTTTTGTAAATAACTTCTATGATCATTCAAAGTTTAGCTATTCAACATATATCATCTAGAAAAACAATGACAGATTTATCTAGATAAGTGCAAAAAATATTATTCATTAATTCCATGAATGTAGCGGTGCATTAATGAGAACAAAAGGCATCACTAGATACTCAAAGTGTACCATATCTAGTACAAAAAAATGTCTTGTGGACATGTTCATCTGGAATTCAAATTTGATTGTAGCCGCTTCTCAAATCTAGCTTGATGAAGTACTTCGCTCCTTGAAGTTGATCAAACAAATCATCTATATGAGGTAATGGATATTTATTTTTCACCGTTTGCTGATTCAATCTCCAATAGTCAATGCATAGTATCATGGATCCATTCTTTTTTTTCACAAAGAGCATTGAAGCTCCATAAGATGAAACACTTGGTTGAATGAATCTGTTGCTCAACATTTCCTCCATTTGAGCTTTGCATTCTTCTAATTCGTTTGGAGCCAAACGATATGGAACTTTGCAAGTTGGTATATTTCCAAGTATTACATCAATCTTTTTATCTACTCGTCTCTTTGGTGGTACTTCTGCAGGTACATCATCTGAAAAAAAATCTTTATACTCCATAAAAATTGGCATTCAAGGACTCCGAGATGTAAAGTTTGTCCATGGATCCAATATTTTTTATAAGTACTGCAACCTCCGGACTGAGTCTCATTAAGATTTACCTCAGATGTCTTTGCGGTAACTCATCATGGTTCTAGAAAACCAAAATTCCTCCTCATACTCATGTTCCAAACACACTTTCACACAATTCCTCAATTTATCACTCCAATTCACTCACAGATCGACACTGAAAATTGTCACTCTTTTATTTATGAAACAAGTCTATACACATGAACTCTTCAAACTTGCTTGAAAGCCTTTCACTATCTCTCTATATATACTACTTGAAAATTTACCATAGTAATAAATGATAATTTCTATCTAATTTACTTTTACAAAGATAAATCATAGTAAATTTGACTAGTTATCAATACGTGACAACATGCCATTGGCCTCCTTAACCTTCTAGATATTTACTAATCTCTAGATTGA